TCCTTCTTCTTCTTCTTTCTTTCTCTCTACCTCCTCTCTCTCTCTCTCTCTCTCTCTCTCTCACTATCGCTCGTCGCGGGCACCGGACAGACCGACGCAGGGCAGCTCTCGTAGCAGCTTCCTCGGTACGTCGCGACGACGCGATGGACGCGGTGCTAATGTCGAACGCGGGGAAAAGAGGCGCCGTCCGCGGGCCGCACGGCGATGATAATGTCGAACGATACACGGCGATCAGCGACGACCTCTCTGCCTCGTCGTCGTCGTCGTCGTCGTCGAGCAGCAGCACGGCAACACCACACCGACCATTGGATTTTTCGATGCCTCCTCCTCAGACATTGACCCGTTCGGGCGAGATCGGGCCAGTCGAGCGCCGGCGGACATTGCCGAGTGTGACGTCAGCGACACCCCGCCCCGCCCCGCCTCTTGCCGAGTGTGCCGCAAACGGCACGTCTTCTATCGAGTGCGACGATGGCGCCGTAGTCGCGATTTCCAACGCCGCATTCGCCGTTGCAGTTTGCATGGCCACCATTATGGCGCGCGATTTCAATGTCGAGAAGGATTATGCTATTTGCACAGTAATTGCAAATTGAAGATGACAAACGAAATTATTACACATTTCTCTTTTTCTTATTACTTGGTCTAATCAATATTTAATATATTAATAATTAATCTTTTTATTTTCCTCATACGATTGACTATATTTTAATATTTTGATATTTTTTTTTAAATAAACATGTTCTGAATTTCAATTCGATGATTTGAAACAATCTATTCTTTTTTTTTAAGAAAAATTTAAAAACTAATATTTTGATTTTTTTTCTAAGTGCATTTCTTTTTTCAACGAGATTATTTACGAGATTTATTATTTGCTAGAATTACAGATCTCCTTTTTTCAATATTATTAATCGTTATTACTGATTTAATTTTTTCCACATATGTAGTTCAATAAAAAAATAGTCATTATTATAAATCGAAAGTCTTTTTAAATCTCTCAGCAAATATAAACAAGCATTAACCTCATTCAGTGAAATTCTCATTTAAAAAAAGGTTTTATTGATATACATTTTTAATCTTTTTTATCTCTTAACAATACTTTAACGTAAACAAGATAGGATACTTTTCTTTAAATGTACGAAGAAATGTGACTACTGAGCGTACCGAATAACAATGATGCTCCCGATTATATTCTGAAAGAGAAGTAAAACATCCGTTTTGTTTGCTTTTTTTGTCTGCACAGAGCATTTACTTTTTTGTCTGATAAAGAGGATTCTTTCTCTTTGTTCCTTCCTTTTATGAAAGAAAAGATGATTTTGTTTACCAAAACTCTTCTCGCAATTATTAGATATGCTCTTCTTATTAGCTACATTGCTCTTTATATTTTTTATACTCTCTAGACTTCAAATAATATAAGCCTATTTAAATATTACAGTAAAAAAGACAATAAATGTGGAGAACAATAATAATAAAAAGAAATGATTTTATATCTGCAATACAAAAAATTGACATAATTATAAAAATTAATAATAGTATATACAAAATATAAAATATTATATAAAATTATATAAAATATAACATAAAATATTATATAAAATAATGTATTTCTTGTTCTACATTTTCTTTCTGTATTTTTGTATTTTCTTTCTGTATATAGTCATCTTTATAATTTTGAATGTCGAGCTATAACATATACTAATATTCTTAATATATTTTAAGAACGCGTTAATATGAATATTCTGAATATATTTTACGGATACACAATAGATATGCGGTATAAATATTCTAAATACATTCTGAGAATATACTAAAAGTCTTATCCGAGAATATTTCAAAAAGATATACGAAATGACATATAGTGACGTTCTGAGAACATCTTAAGAACTTTATTATTAACTTTATTATTACCAATAATATTACCAGTAATATATAATTATGTAGTTTACTCTTATTATTAATAAATTATTTTTTTAATTTTGTAAAAAAATTGAAATATCCACGTAAAATAATCACTGAAATTAGAATTTGCTAATTTTACATATATCACTCGTCGAAGAATTTGAATTTTATTAAATAAATTATTGATAAAACAAACAGATGACAAACAAAATTTAGGTAAATTTCCTTACTATTTTCCCGTCGCGTTATGTAAACTTACTTATCAACGATTAGTCACTTCACATTAGTCACTTCACATTAGTCACTTCAGTTTCATACGCTTTTCGCCAATGTAAAACTTATCCGCGACGGGGGCCATGTCACGTGGGTAAGTCACCAGTATTATTTACCTTTATCGGTAACGTAGAAATTTATAATTCCACGTACCGTGGCCGAGGTGGCGCGGTAGCTCCGTCTGGCGCCGTGCGGTTGCGACTCTTCCCCCTCTCCCGCCATTCTCGCCCCGTAGCTGCGTCGTCGGCGCCGGTGGCAAAGCGCGCGGGTTACGGTTTAAGTTGCATTTTAGATGCGAACGAACGCGCATCTCTCTTTCTGGGGTCGCGGCCACGCGGTTAACGTTCGTTTTCGTGAACATCGAGCGCGCGTTACGACCTAAGTGTTAACACGAATTGTTGTTTCGTGAACGATCCTGAGACGCGGACTGTGACTGGCGTGACACGGATGACCGGTGAGTTTGAATATTTGATGTTCGTGCGTGTGCTTGCGTGTCTCTTGAAATTCGGCCGCGTGGCCGAACGAATTTGCACGCCTCGGCGGATTCGGCTTGCTCAATCGTCTCAGTCGTACGCAAAATAAATGCTCTTCAGTCATTTCTTCTTTGTAAAGATACGTGTAAAATATGATTGGATGATTCTCTTATGCATGTGGTTACGCAGTTACGCAGATTTTTCTGGATAGATCCTTAAGCCTTGCGTCCATGATGCCGGAAATAAATCTAGCGAGGAAAAAAGGAACTTAGAACTTGACCGGCTTAACCGTTGAGAACAATCGAGAACATTAATGTATCTCCTGATTGACCGATTTTATTTACCGAAAGAGCTATTGCGATTGGGTTTTTTCTTTATCCGAGATCTCAGACATCTGGAAATTTTTAGATTTTAACGGTTTTTTTTTTTCCAGTGGATGGAAGTTTTCATTCAAATCGGTGGGTGCTTTCCATTTAGTGATAATGTTAATCATTGAAAGCCAAGAAAAATAGAACGATACTTGTGTCGACTTGTGTCACTAAATGGAAAGCACCCGGTATTTCTTCTTGTTGGTGAAGTCCTTCAGCGATATTACATAAGAAAAAAAAAGACATTCTTTCCAAATACGATTCTTTTGAAAGAACATTACCAAATGAAATTCTATAGTGATCTAGGAATTTAAATTGTTGCATTAAATTATTTACTCTTTTTTTTTGTGATGTGCATTGATGTGAATAGTTGTTTTTGTTATGCGCAGTATTTTATGCACATCCAGTTGCAATGCAGTTCTGAAACAGACATATGAAAATGCCAATTTTCTTTTTGTAAGAAACGTTTGATTCGCGAGTCAATTTTTCTATATCAGAAATTTGGTGCAACAGCTTCAACAATTATTTTGTTTTCGATGTTATTTAACTCTTTACACATCGTAATATTTAACATATTTAATTAATTGTATTTAACTCTTTACACATCATAATATTTAACAATATTTAATTAATTGTAATTTTTAATAAATTTTTTAGCAACAGATTAAATAATGGTGATAAACAATGAAGGAAATGAATAAAAGTTTTAGTGAGATTTACGTAAAATTATTTGTAAAATGTCGTTTAATTACACGTTTTCGCGACGCGAGAAATGTATTCTACGAAAAATTCTTGGTTTCCTCGATCGCTTATAACTCGGAAAATAACTCGTCGGCGACATTTTTATAAGGGAAAGATCGGCTCGACAATGGTCGAGGAATCTGCTATAGAAGAGTATATCTTTTATACCATAGTTGATCCGTGGAACACCTTTGTATATTTGACAGGGAGAAAAGGGAAAAGAGCTTTGAGGAAAGAAAGGAGCAAGAGCGAACGAAAAATGTACAGAATACAATTGAAGCGGACAAATATTCCGAACGTTTTCCTGAATATTTCAACTCTTTATCACATCATTTTGCACTAGTTTTAGCAAACGACATTTCTCGATTAAAATTTCTGATATCTCGCATTTATAACACGTTTGTTTCCGAACTGCGCACTGACAGAATATTTCAAGCACTCATCAAATATATGCAGAAAAATAATTTGTTATACATCACATCATACAAAATATTACTCTTTGATATGCTATTGCTATTCTGCTTTTGCCATTAAGCTTTACTTTGTTATTATTAAAAAAATGTTATTTCATCATTTGATATCATCCATTCAATTTCTACTCGATTAATATTTGATTTATAAAAGGATTTGTATATTAATTAAAATATTGAGTTAAAAGAAGAATTAATCTTTGAAAAAAATTTTTGAAAAAATTTTGAAAAAAATTTTAAAAAAATTTTTCAAATTCCTTATTTTAAATTTTGAAAATATTTTTCAAAGATTAATTCTTTTATTATTTCTGTAACAAAATTTTTGAAAAAATTTTTTTCAAAGAAAATTAATAAATAATGTTCTAATAAATCATTTCTCGCTCGGTAGTTGATAAACCGTTTCAGTTATGTCTTTCATTTCGAATTATATTATGAAATTATATTTTATAAAAAGCGACAATTGTTACAGAAATAATAGAGCAAATAATAGAGAAATAATAGAGCAAATAATAAGAAATATTTCGCTGGAGTACCACTGATATATATATATATATCGTCGGAAATAAAGTACGGCGCGCGCGCGAGCGCGCTCTCAGAATTGAGCATTAAAAATCCACGGGTTATCAAGCGACTACAGCGGCATTATATCTTTGTCAGATCTCGTCAGCGTGAATTAGCCTCATCCTTTCGGTGCCGCAAGCCGGCCAAGTTTCAACGTGGAAAGATCGTCTCGCCCGAGCATCTTCCGTTCCTGCCGAGAATTCCTACACTCCCGGAAGGCTGGATGCGCGGGGTGAGTTTCACCGCTCTTTTTTTCATTTTATTTTTCGGTTAAAAAATAATGAGAGAGAGAGGGAGAGAGAGAGAGAAAGAGAGAGAACTCATGCGGCCGGGCACCTTCCCGAATGCCTTCCAAAAGGGAAGGCCTCTGACCTTAAATACGTAGGACGTGAAAGAAGCTGCGATGGTACGATTCTTTGCGTGTCGTGACGCAAATATAATCGCATTCATTGTCACGCCGGGAGGACAAAGAATTCGCATATGGTGCAACGACCTGCCTGTGGTTTCCTTCCAGGTATAACACCAGGATACAACCTTCAGCGTATGGATTATCGGTCGGTTCTCACGTATTATTCAAACGATGACGATGAATAATAAGGAGAACGATTTGTTCCTGAGCCCCCATCATTCCGCGACGATTCATTAATATGAAATCTGTCGTTATGAATTTTCGATATTATAACATATTATTGAATATAATCTCATTATGGAATCTCGCTAAACTAAATTCAAGTTCGTCGATGTAAATATATGATGATAGCGATCGGATTTCCACGATGGCCGTTGTTCGCATAATGGATATTGATACGTTAGTGGCGGTATAATGAGCAACCTCGAAATATGTCTGAAATATTTCGGATAACATGAATATATCCTGAAAATGTCCGCATTCCTTCCCGCTGAGCTTGAAGCCTCCGTCTCTCCTCGGAAAGTTTCCTCGCATTTTTATATTTCAAGAATAGAATATATAATATTTTCGAGATTTGTTACTTGGGTCACACATCTCACGATTCTGTTTTTCAAAATGATGTAAGAGTATAGTGTAGAGTGATAAAAGATAATTTTCCTTTATTTTCTCGGTACTTGAAATTTTTAATGTCCGATTCCAACGTAGATTAACTTCAATTTCGGTTTCGTACTTTTTATCTTTTTCTAATTCTAAGAAGAGCAAGTTAAACCGCACACAGAAAAATATGATATATTTTATTTAAGAAAAACAATTACTCAGTTTATTTTTCTTCTTTAAAGAAAAGATTGTCTTCAAGAAAAAATATTTTCTTGACAATAGTTTTAAAATATATATTTGTCACGAATATTAAAAAAGCTCATTAAGCTCGTTGTATTCAAAAGAAGAATTTATCATCTATCTATCATTCTCCATCTACTCTATCTAGTAAGTAAAACAAATTTTTTTCTTTAATTTAATATTCTCGATTGAAGTAATGAACTTTTTAAGATTGAAAAGATATTTTGAATAAATTTTATGCTTGTGATAAACTTGTAATATATTTGCGGATATACGAACATATAAAATACTTGTGACAAGCAATATTTATTCGAATGCAATATGTATTTTTCTATAGTGGGAGATTAAAGTAAATCTACATTGATGGAATCGGTGGTCATAAATCTCATTAATGGACAGTGAGGCAGGTGAGCAATTATCTTTCTTTTTTTTTTAAATGAAAACTGATTATTTGACTTGTGCGACGAGTTGTGAATTAAAGAACGGGGGAAATTGAAGGGCGAGAAATCTTAGAAGTTATTCATTTCGATTTTAATAATTGAATCGATTGATTTGAATGTTCTTTAAGTCTCAAAGCGAGTATCACGCTCGAGTAGCATGGTAATCCGTTTCGATCGTCGAACTAATCCCGTCTCTGAATTCCCACTCAATTTCTGATCGGCCGTGCGCGCAAAAGCGCAACGCAGCGCAACGCGATGGGTGGGGAGGGGGCGGGGGAGAGGGAGGGGAAGGCTGCGTGCAAATTAAACGACTGTGTGTGATTCTCGGCCTGTCGTATATATTAGTTAATACCATTGGTATTCGACGGGAGCGCAGCGAATATCGGATGGATCTAAAGTGCGGCTAGGACTCGCTGACGATAATAGAGATGCGTTATTTGATCGAGTAGACAACTAAGGGCCGGAATTCCTTTATGAGGAATTTTATTATGATTGATTACTACTTTTTCTCACTTCCGTCTTACTATCCTCGTCTATTTTAATGCGTGCTTTATGTTTCCTGAAAGTAGTTCCCCGACGCAAGAAACACTGTCTTCGTATATTCAATATTTTCAGGTTTAATTAAATCTCTTTCATCCCTTATCATAATTTTATTAAGTCGTAGAACTAGAAATAAAAAGAAAAAAAAGAACTTATTAGAAGCTACAAAAATCTATTTTTCTTGCTTTCGTCGTTTGAAAGTTGATCGGAAAGGTTAATATATCTCTAAATGGCTAATAAAGGAAATTAGAATAAAAATCTGAACTCATTTTTAAAATTTGAAATTCGCATTTCCGGCACGCATTTAAGAGGAAAAGTCAGTTTTAAATTCTCGAAAGCATCTGTCACTACAAAATTAACGTCACGAATTATGCGACACCCTATACAACAAGCAAAAGGGGGAGATGTTTATCTCGATTGTTCGTTGATTATTCCGGTTGGGGATTCTGGCGCACGCTGATGTTAGCTTAAATAAGCTTAAAATACATACTTATCATACTTAGAAGGTCCACGAGGAGGCGTGAGATAATCCTAAACGGTGCAGGAAAAAAATATATGTCGCTAATCAGCGTTGCACATAATGCGTGCGATAAAGCTCTCGGTACACATAATAGTACGTTAGCGGTATATGGGATATTATTACGTTGCCAATATTATCCCGCCACCCCTTCTACATGGTAGCCCCCCTTTTGTATTCCTTGCACATGCTTTCTCACGGAGCTTGATGCGACTGCAGTCGACATGCGTTTTGAAATTTATCGAGGTCCCTTTTTTTCGAATTTATATGTGCGCGATCATGTATTTTACCATTCGTCATGGTGGATTGTTTGATTTACAGTGATATTATTCAAATGTATTTTACAAGCGACACAGCAAAGATAATCTAGTCTTATAATAGTATAATGTGTGTGTGTGTGTGTGTGTGTGTGTGTGTGTGTGTGTGTGTGTGTGTGTGTGTGTGTGTGTGTGTGTGTGTGTGTGTGTGTGTGTGTTCTACATATATAACCGCATATGTAAAATGATGTTAATAATTGTTTCTAATTAACGAATATTAGTACGTTTATATCATAAATATGCCACTTTAGAGAGATCATAATTACAATATTAAGAATTTAATTACGTCATAATTGTTTCTATCGTCTGAGACTATTAGATTAATAATTGTCAGTTAATTGCTGTTATGTAGTTTATAATTTAATATTTGATAATTTGATATCGAATAGAAGAGTTTAAAGAAAAATAATATATTATTAAAAACATTTTACTCATAATAATAAAATGGTTCATATAATAAAATGGAATATATTATCGTTCCATTTGAGATTAATGAAAACATTTCGCTAAATATTATCGTGATATTGCAACGATGATATGACGGTGAGTAATATCCATTTATCTAGTCATGAAATACACTTTCATATGATATGTGACATATTTTCTTCAGTCACTTTACACAGTTAACCAGCGATTTACTTTAATTAAAATTTACTTCTGAATATTATTACACACTCTCTCTTCGTATTTCATTCCAAATTAGTCATCAATGAGTTCTATCTCGTTAAATATTTAATCCATCTTATTAAGGGGATGTGCTACAATAAAGGCTTAGAAAAAATCCTTTTTGAAATTTTGAATAATTTAAAAGGAGTTTTTTTTACCCCTTTTTCCTTTTTTCTTTTCTTCTCTCTCTCTCTCTCTCTCTCTCTCTCTCTCTCTAAAGTGCAGATACGATAAGGTATGAATGAATATGTGGGATAAGAATAATAATTTGTAAACCAAGTTCTTTCTTATTTGTAAATATGCTGAAATACATAAATATTTATATATATAAGTATATGATGATTATACAGCATTATAAATCCATGTATTCAAAAAAATGGTCCATCGACGATGCAAAGAACTCAGGTTGTAATTATCAAAAATGAGAAATTCGTAAAAATATGAGTGTGGTTTTAATTAAGCATACGAATTTTTTAAAATAATTTTTCCTTTTTTTACAAAATTGTGATAGTTTAAAAAAATTCATAATTTTATTAGATTTTGATATTATTTAAACATTTCGTTTTCAGAAACTAAGCATTAAAAAATCCCTTAAATAAAATCATTTGTTCTGTAAAGATATTTAAAATCAATCGGTGAAAAATTGCTTTAATTATAGATAATCGTCAATTGAAACAAAGTAATTTTGAGAAAAACACGTTTAAAGTTTTAGTATCGATCAGGTTACATACGTTTTCACCATATTTATGCAACTTGAGAGATACTTCGAATTTTATTTATTAAAATCTTTTACGAGCACACTTTTAAGATATGAATCTTTCGAAAAATGTAAAAAAAATTTTTTGAAAATGTTATAGTACGTTCTTAAGCAATTATATAATTATTAACGATTAAGTCAACTAATAAACTAATAATAAACAATAAACTAGCAAGAATTGATATAATAAAAAGAAGACTTTAAATGCAAGAAAGAATATATTATTTTTTTATGTTATATTTCTCCAACTAAAATTATATATAAAAATATGGAAAATAATGAATTATTCTTTTTTACATTTCTTTTTCAAATTGTATAAAGCATACTTGTGTTGCACATGTTTATACATGCGCATATGTACGTATTCGTGATACACGCGTGCGGATGATACAGCGAGCGAGTTTCTGTCTTCTTATATATTTGAAGAAGGATAATTTTGCTCTTATAAGAACATGACATGACATGACATATTTAGCTCTTCCACCGAGTAGAAATTAGTTACACACAATTTTCCTTGTTTTTACACTTCATTAAGTATTGATACGACATTCTCATGATATCATGATGTCGATCAATCGTGAATCAATACGTACCGAGCGCTATTTTGGATGTTGATGAATCGATAACACAACTATACAATACAATAGTGTCTTTACTCTATGCTCGCGTGAACGTGGCGTTACTCCCTTTCGCTCTTTAATTCAATTTTGTTGAGTCTAGAGGCAACGCGCTATCTCTTGTATTCACTA